AAATGTATTACAAAAACACACGTTTTTGGTCAAAAAACCTGTTTTTAGTTTTCAGAGCCATCGAATGTTTCTACATTCAAATATTGATAATCTACATTATCAAATATTGATAATGTTAATTTATGCATAAATATATAATTGGTTTAACTTTTTAAGCCGGTTTTGATAAAATTTTGAAAAAAAAATCCGAAAAACTCGGTAACTCTGTTACTATTTGTACAGGAGAGTTGAATTTGGGCTCATATTACTCAGAAAACATATATTTATATTAGCTGTAATGAAACTTCGCAAAACATGAAAATATTTATTATTGAAAAACCCCATTTTTAGTGCCTACGTTTTACAATTATCTTATTTAAAGGCCGTAAAATGCTTTACTTCATTACGGTACTGTTACTTGTAGCCTTCTGATTTGAGACATTCGACAGGCATTGATATTATGTTGGCGTTAAAGGACTGCATTGAATCCTGGCAAATGAGCTAAATTGACATTAATACATTTTTTTTAAATTCTTATACTTATGTGCACCAAATTATACTTAATATTTCCAAAACGTTGGTTTTGGTAAAATTTTGGGTATTTTCCCCCTATTTTTAATTAATATCTCATTCACCGTTCCCCAGTTTATCGTCAGTTTATCTGTCTTAGAAAAATCAGTTCTACAACATATCATATTTTTTTCCTCGGAGTTTGGGTTTAAAAAGCCGTGATCTTTGGAAAGGACATAAAGGACCGAGGTTATTATCATTACGTGTTAACTACGAGTGAGGTACGACCTATGGAGTAACTACGAGATTATTACGAGCGTAACAAGTTTTTACCGAATTAGCGCGAGGTAGGTCAAAAGGTCGAAGTAAGCCGGTTTTATTGATGCTTCATCATTAAACGTTTTAAAAAACGGGTGGTTGCCTTACACTGAAACTACTACGATTTATCGTTTTCAATGCAGGTGCGGAATTAGAGGCCCGGGGCCCCCACCCACCTTTTTCGAAGATAATAAAAAAAATAAAAGAAAAGAAAGGAAGAAAACAAAATCTCCCAAAACGCCACAGATGTTATTTTCGGGCTTCTAGAACACAAACATTTCATGGGGACAGCCCCCTGATCCCCTACGGTAGTGTTATCTCGATCAGCCCAAATTTCGCTCCACCTTTCACCACCACCACCCCCCCCCCTCTCTCTCTCTCTTTTGGACATCTCTGGATCATAGGCGTAGATCCCAGAGCGGGGGGATGGGGGATATATCCCCCAATATTTGACAAGGGGAAGGGTCTCATTCCCCCCCCCATTAGCATAATGTATTAATGTTGATAACAAAATTATTTTATCTTGTACCAATCTAAGCTCAGTTTCCTTAGATATCAGATGTGCTTGCTGATGTACGACATCAGTAATATTGTGTCAATTCCAAGAATGTTTAAGGTTATATCGGTTGATGAGGAATTTATTGATAAGGCCTATAATAGCAAATTGCATCAATTTATTTTTCAAAAACAAGGTTTCCAGCGTCAGAGGGGGGCACATCCCTGTCCGCACAAGGGCACACATTGGCGCTAACACCAGGCGCGTAACAGGGGTCTAGCTTGGGTCAGAGTGGGTATTTATTTTCCCGGTTCCATACCCACCACACCCTACTCCCCATATAGAAAACAATACGACATAGGGCTTATGTTATCTATAATATAGGCCACACACGTGTGTTTGAAACTAAATATAAGCATTTTCATCATGGTTTTATTTATTACAAACATATTCTGTCACCATTAATACACATTGAGGCCCTTCTTTTAGGTTAAAACTATCTATCTTAATTTTGTCTTTCTTGAGTTTGGGACTATTATGTGTTTAAATAACTTAAAAGGATAAAACTAAAAAAGGCCTAAAATATTTTTGTGTTTTTAATTCTAATTTCGTCGGAATTGATGAAAACTCCCTAAAATGTGCAATTTATAGAGGAAATTGGCCTACCGTAACAAGAAATGCGCGCAAAGAATTTGAGAATTTTAGGCAAAACTAAAAAAGCCCTTAAAAAAATGCGGGCCATGCGTGCAAAATATTTTTGTGTTTTTAATTCTAATTTCGTCGGAATTGATGAAAACTCCCTAAAATGTACAATTTATAGAGGAAATTGGCCTACCGTAACAAGAAATGCGCGCAAAGAATTTGAGAATTTTAGGCACTTTCAGAGGATGCATTTGTCAAGGGGTGGGGAAAGATTTTCCAAAGATGGATATTTTCCCTTTGTCCCTCGGTGTTTTTAATTCTAATTTCGTTGGAATTGATCAAAATTTCCTAAAATGTGCAATTTTTAGAGGAAATTAGCCCATGTTAACAAGAAATGCGAGCGAAGCGCGCGAAATTTGAGGTTTTTAGGCACTTCCAGGGGATGAAAAGGGCATTTATAAAGGGGTGGGGAAGATTTTTCAAAGATAGATATTTTCCCCTTGTCCCCCAGTGGCTACGCCATCGGGCAGCATAGATCAAAGGCGTTATGACAGTTTTTGAAATGGAGAAGGGGTTGCAGGGTGTTGTGAGTCTGGTCATTATGATATCTTCCTTTTTATTTTTGTCTTTATTTTTCTCTTCTCTTTTTTTTTTTTCCTTTTCTTTTCCTCTTCTTTCTCTTTCCCTCCCTCTCCCTTCTTTCTTTTCTCTTATTACCCAGCCCGGGTATGACGGCTTGGTCAGCCCGGTAAAAACCCCCCCCGCGCCTGTTACGACACTGGCTAACACGTCAATCATCCCCCCAATGAAAAATATTTTTCTACGCCACTGATCACAAAATGGTATAATCCTTGTGATTTTCCGAGGGCGTCATAGACATGATGCAACCCAACCATCCTGCTAGTAGAGTACCTCCCAATTGGGTATCTTGGGTATTTTGACTTTGTCTTGGGTTCTTGGGTATCCCGTTCAAATCCTTGGGTATTTTATTTTTACTAAGAAAATTAAATATTTTTGTCACAGAGGAAAATTAAGAAGTAACAAAGTATATTTTAGTCCATTCAAGCAAGCAAAACTCAACGAAGTGCACATAAAATTGTTAATTGACTGTCAATTGCTATAAACATAGGTTCAGAAATTGTTTATTTGTGATTTGCGTTGCCACTGATCTTTAATTAATGCATTACATAATAAAACTTGGTAACTGATTTATGATAACACTATTGGCCGACTGAGGGCGTATTTTTCTATTCATATTATCACCTCATGAATATTAATTTTAATAATTAACAGAAACAATTACAATAAAAAATGGTTTATAGAATGAACTAAAAGGGAAACTATGCATACGAAAATCACGTGTTTTTTTTTTTTGTTTTTTTTTTTTTTTTTTTTTACGTGTTTTTTTTTTTTGTTTTTTTTTTTTTTTTGTTTTTTTTTGTTTTTTTTTCAAATTTTAATGCATTTTCTGGAAGCTTGGGTAATTTTGGTTGAATCTTGGGTAATTTCGTTGGGTATATCAAAACATAGTTGCCAGAGTTAGCAGAATTCTGCTTTTAAGCAAAATTTTGACCGTTTTAGCATTTAGTATTATTCTTAGCAGAAATCGACCTATTCTAGCAGATATCTTTCGCTTGACATTAGGCATTACCGTAATCATTATTTTGTGATACAAAATGATAGGCTACCGGTATGTCTAGTGTTATATTGAACAGTGGTAGATTCAACGGGAGACTTTGTCACTACTGGTCCCCAACCTCCTAATTTTTTCAAAATTATAAACAAAAATGGAGAAAACAGACAAAATTGTAGGCCTATTCAACTTTTAATCTGTGAGTGCCATTTCCGGCCATGGAGGTGCCACAATCATAATTTTTCTTACCTCAGCCCCAACAATTGTGCTGATGAGGTCGGTGGACATTTTATTTGCGCAAAATCATCCCAGGATCCCCTCTATTTCGACTTCCTGGACCCGCCACAGTTGAAGTATCATTTCCGGGCTACATAGAAGGGTACTGTAATTTTTATCCTTCGAAGGAAAAGTGAAGTTGTCGTCTCGGGGAACCCATATCAAGGCTAACCATTATGATAAATAATGCATTGACATCGTGGAAACAATCTCGACTTCGACTTTGTTAGTAAAATCTGTGACGTACACATTCAAGGGCGGGGGGCGTGGCGGGGTATAAATTGTTCATTTTTTTTTTAATGGAGATATAGGCCTATAGGCCTAAGCAAAATTATATTAAATGTGATCAACATTAATACATTATGCTAATTTTCATCTTTGTAAGCGCATAATACAGTGCAAATTATTTCTGTGACAGTCTTTTGAAGTGTGTAAAGCTCCATTTCATCCCATACATATTCAAAATATTGGGGGGGGGGGATGATACAATGGACCACCCCCTTGTCAAATATTGGGGGGGGGGATATATCCCCCATCCCCCGGGATCTACGCCTATGGCTCTGGAGTTGAAACAGATCGAAGTCCGTTTTGGTATACCAACCTCCAATAATGCAGGTGTAATCCGGTGACGTCAGAGACCGGTCACTTTTCAAAGTTATATTTCCTTACGGCGAAATATAACGTTTCCGATCCTCGTAGCGCTAGTCGCGTGATGCCATTTCGACCAATCACGTACTCGTATTTACATAGGCTATAATATTTTGCCCTACCTGACATGTTATCGTACCGAATAGGCCTACTCAGTACGTCCCCAACCCAAATACTACCAGGAATTGAACCCACGACTTTCAGGTACCGGTATCTAGCCTTATGTCTTTTAACCACTATTTGCTATCTTAAATAAGATTATTTTAAATTATAAATATTTTTTTCTTTATAAATTATTTTTTTAATTTTATTTTGATTGATTGATTTATTTTTTCTTCTTCGGTCGTCAATTGTTACCTACCCACCCCCTCCCCGCTCATCAGCATTTTGGAGTGTAAAATAGTGTAATACTAATGGGATAATTTATCAGAATTTTTTGCTGCCCCCTAGATAGCAGAATGTTAATTGTTATTTTTTGCGCTGGTCACTGATCAAAAATTGTCACGTTGCCTCCTCTTCCCAAAACTGCTGACGGTAGTTTGTTTCCGCATCAATGAGGAATAAAACGAAATCGTTTTGAATCCTCCGGGTTTTCCGTATTGGATCCATTATCATTCAGTTCTTTGCTACAGTGATGATAGTATGACTTTAAGATCTGACAAAATTCAGGTAAGAATTCCGGTCGTTTCGACGGGTTTTGAACCGTACTATATCCGGCGAGGGTTTCGGCTACTCGTGTGTTGCAGCCAAACGGGGTGCATTATTTTTTTCCCATAATTTCAGCTATTGCACAACCGCCGTCAACTCAGTAGGTTATCACGTGCAGAGGTAAAGCCTCCAAATATTATCTTCGTCTAGGGTTAGGTAGGCCTAGGCTAGGCTCTTAAGTAATTTATTTCGAGCAGCGAAGATGTCGCCTCGCTAAGCGACCCTATTTTCACCTCATGTTCAATACAGATTTACAGCCAATGCCAATTCAAGTAGGCCTACATGATAATGTGGAAAATCCATAGAGATATAATAATAGCTCTATGGGAAAATCCCAGATAAATAGATGGTTCTGGGCGCGACTTTTTTTTCCGTACGAAACATTTGCATGAAACTTCACTCGGGCCATCTCGGGTTGACTCGAGTGAGTACGATACAAGGAACAAGAGCAGACACTTCGCAATGTCGTGACGCTCGAGTTTTAC